TTTTTTTTTTTTTTTTTTTTTTTTGAGACAGGGTCTCACTATGCAGATTGGGCTGGCCTTGTGCTCACTTTTGTAGCCCCCATGCTGGTCTCGAACTTTCAGGGATCCTTTTGGCTCCACCTCCTGAGTGCTGGGATTACAGGTGTGTACCAAGTGTTGGCATTTGTTAAACCTTCAGCACTGTACTGAGACTGTCACATATCAAGTTCCTGAATTTTCAGTGGCCTTACAGGACTGTGAGTACTGTTAGCATCACACTTTACATCTGAGGAAACTGAGGCACCAGGCAGCTCAGTGACGCACCCAAGGTCCCACAGCTACCAAGGCAGAGGCCAAGCAGGTGATTTCTGGCTGGAAGGTTTATGCTACTATCTACTTCCTCCCCAGAAATTAAGGACATTAGATGACAACACATATCTTCTCCCTCAGTGAACGGTCAAAGGAAGACCCCACCTACCAGCTGCTGGAGGGCCACCTGTGATCTGCTCACTGCTGCAGGTGTCTGTGCAGCCCACCCCAGGGCTGGTACTTGGCATATGGCATTCCATATCTTGGGCTTGTCCTATGGGTCCTAACTGTTGAAAAGGTATTTATTGTTGCATTATTTATAGTAATATACATCAGAAACATCCAGTGTCTTGGTTCGAGAATGGTTAAGTTGGCTCCAACTTTTCTAATCAATGGATCACTGTTTACTCATAAAAGGGACATTACCCACTGGTAATAGGAAAAAGTTACTGTGATACTATAATAATTTCAGAAAAACAAATTCAGACACTCTCGGGGCATGTGTGAGTGCTCCCGGCTGTCAAGGATGTCTGTGTCCACACCAGGACCCTCCCACATCCAACAGCAGAGCATCTGCTCTGAGCAGTCCTTGCTAGTGGTGGCTCCAGTCCATTTCCTGCATTGAGGGCTCCTGGCTTCCGAGGCAGCCCTTCCTGGACATTTAGTTTTGGAGGATTTTCAACACCCTCAGAAAGAAAGAACAGGCTTGCAAGCTCCCGATAGCCTAAACTCTTACACACCCTTTGCATACACAGGGGTTGGCAAACTATGACTGCCGCCTAGTCCTGAAGAATTTGGTTGGCTCCTATGTCCAGTGCCCTCTATCACTGCTGTTTCCCCACGTGGCAGGGTTGAGCTGCTCTGACAGACTATACAGCTGCAAAGCCAGGGACATTTTCTAGCTGACTCTTTACAGAAAACATTTGCCAACTCCTGATCTATGTCTAGGAGGGACTGACCCTTGGCCAATCTGCTACATGGTTTGTTTAGTGTACACATATTTTTGACATCACTGTTTGCTCAACATTTGAAAGTAAACTGTGTTCTTAAAAATATTATGTGCCTGCTTCTGAAAATCTCAGTATGGGTCTTTGTAACCAGGACCTGGGCCAGGGGCCAGGGCCCCTGAAGCACCAGGGCCACCCTGCCACCTAGTGGATAGGTTTCAGTGGCGTCAGCAGTGTGGTCAGCTCTTCCAAGCCAGACGCATGCATAGCACATGGCATGAATGTGTGTGGCCGGCTCCAACACTAGCTGACATCTGCCTTTGCATAATTTTGCCTCATTAAACCTCCACTGCTGAGACTCTAAGGTTTTTTTTTTTTTTTTGCAGACAGCAGTCTGAAGTGACCCAGCCTGGGTAGGGCGGCACAGCCCTAACGCCTGAACAAGTAGATCCCAGGGTGGGAGGCCCTCCACCTGGAACGTTCTTTCCTGTGGAAGAGCGTAGTGTCTGAAGTCCTCCCGCCAGTGGAGGTGGTGCCACTGAGGTCCCTCTACAGGTACAGGTGGTACCGTGGAGGTCTCTCTGGAGCAGTGAGCTGACTGCAGCCCAGGGAAGTATAGCCTGAGAATACCCTCAGGACTTGAGGTGCTGTGCTACGGGGTAAAACCTGGAAGGTGATAGGCCGGGCTCCAGGGCCTTCTACAGAGTTAACGGGCCGGAGGCTAAACTCCTGCACTAGACTTTAAGTTGGTTTGGGCTGTTACATGAATTTTATTTTCCTGTTCTAGGCGCGCTCTCTGTCTCTGTCTCTGTCTCTGTCTCTGTCTCTGTCTCTGTCTCTGTCCAGTTCTGGGACACTTACCTGAAAAATGGGCTCAAGGGAGCAGGGATCTGAATAGCCTCTTCACAGGACAGCCACTGGCATCGCTCCAGACCCGTCGGCCACAAGGGGCTCCTTGGGCCGCCGGCCAGTGTGTGGTCAGGGAGGAGAGGTGCACTTTGTCAGCAGAGCTGTGAACACAGGGATTAGAGCGTTCTTGGAAGTGGGAAGCAGGCTTGCTTTGGGCCACTCCTCAGGGACAGCAGCATCACAACTTGTGACATTGTGATGAGGACTGGTTGGGGCTACTGCCTCAGGAGGACCTAGCCATGCTGGGGTAATTAATACTCCTGCTTTTAGGAAGATCCAACAGTAATGCAGGCTGGACAGACATTACCACAGGGACCGTGACCACTCGGTCATACTGTCTCCCGACCCTCATTTCCTAGTTTTTGACTTCTTGATGAACAAGCCCATCTGCAGCCAGGGACCCTTTTTTAGGGCAGAGTCCCCAAAGACTAAGGCCATTATTATTATTATTATTATTATCATCATCATCATCATCATCATCATCATCATCATCATCATCATTATTTTTCTGTGTGTGCCCAAAGAGTTGAAAACAGGTGCCAACACTCTCCTAATAAAAAGCCTCGTGGTCAGCAAAGTCACTTTGCTACTCCTACAAACCAGTACTCCAGGGCAGAATCCCATCTAGATCACCGTTGGGACACTGAGGGTAGGCACGCCCATATGAACCTACTTTGGGGTAGGACAGACTTGGGGACAGACAGGGAAGTGGCACTAACCTGAGTGGAGGGCCACCTTTGGGCAGGGCCACTGCTATGTCTTTAGATCAAGCGAGTCAAAGCTGACAATGGTGCTGTCAATGGCCCCTGGGCCCCACTGCGTGTCTGGGAAGGAATCTCCCATGGTGGCAGTGCTCAAGGGCATACTGAGCCTATTTCCAATGAGCTCATCCAGGTGAGTCAGGCTGTCTGTTTGAGATGACAGCTGGGACCGAGGACACATAATATTGTCCAGTTCTGAGGACAATGACTGAACTCAGGGATTCGTGCTCCAGCCCAAAGATAGACGCCAACTACACAGAGACAAGAGAGGACTGGTGCCACCCAGTGGGCACCTGGGTCTGTTGAGCTGGCCACAGAGCACTTGATCCAGCTTGAGGTCTTGGCTCTGTCTCAGCTGCATGGGGCTGGGCCTGGAGACCCAGGGGGCCGAGGTCCACAGACTGGAGCCCCTGGGATGTGCTGGCAGAAGGGCTGATACAGAAGACACTGGGCCCGCATCAGCAGTAGATGCTGCTCCTGCTGGGTGCTGCACTGTCCCAGGGCTTGTGCTGTGTGTCTCTGGTGCTGAGTCCCAGGTGGCATGAAGTATCTCAGAAAATGAGTGTAGATGCAATGAGTCTAGGGAGCTCTGTGTTATCACTGTGCCTTGGTACAGACTTCCTGGGCTGGCTCAGTTGCTCCTATGTCTGGCAGGTGGATTTTTCTGATGATGAGAGACCAGGCAGCCATAGGCATACCTGGTACAGTATACATGATCCCTGGGCTTCCAGGAATGAGAGAGGCCACAGTGCACCATCACAAACTCAGAGCGCCACAGGCCACTGCCTGCTTAGTGCTTCTTCCTTGGGTGGCGCTTCCGGTGGCGGATGAGACAGGAGCTATAGGCAAAGGCTTTTCCACACTCCTCACACTCATAGGGCTTCTCGCCTGTGTGTGTTTTCTGGTGTTTCAGGAGGTTGGAGCCACAGTTAAAGGCCTTCCCACACTCCCCACATTTAAAGGGCTTCTCACCGGTATGAATTCTCTGGTGTTTAGTGACGTCAGAACTGTGCCGAAAGGTCTTCCCACACTCCTCACACTTAAAGGGCTTTTCCCCTGTGTGAACTCTCTGATGGCGAATGTGATCTGTCTTGTGCTTAAATATCCGTCCACAATCACTGCACTCATAGGGCTTCTTTCTCTGAAAGGGCACAAACACAGGAACCCCCTCAAAGTCATCTTTAAATGAGGCATCGAAGGCATCAAAGAGATGTGCCTCATCCTCAGGGCTCAGAGCTGGCTCTCTGCGGTGTTTGCTGGCCCTTGCGCGTCTCTTGTTCAGCCTTTTCCCACCTGATGCTTTTTCTTCTTTGAGAGTGGCCTCTTGCACAACTGCTTCCTCTTTGGGGGCCTGGGTTGTCTTTTTCCTGCCTTCCGGCATTTCCATCACTGATCCTAGGAGGCAGGAAGCACCCTGAATCCGAGGAGGGCTGAAGGCTTGAGATCAGGGGTTTCCTGATCCTTCTGTAACTCTAGTCCTGCAGGGGTGGCTTGCCATGTCCTGCGTGTGCAGCTGAGGTTCTGCTCCAGGAAAATGGCACCTGTTCTCTTGCTGCTGGAAAGGCAAGATGCGGACATATCAAAAACGCCTTCCCAAGCCGCACCCCTCTGGATTCGTTAGCCCTCGCCTCACCCTTCCCCAGCTTCCTCATCTCGGTGAGGACACTGTTAATCATCATCTGGCTGCGTGCTCCCCTCTATCACCAAGAGACAGGGTCTCCACCCATGTCCAGTAGGACTCCACGCATACTGTGGCGCAACGGCCGCCACCTGGCTTTTGCTTCTTCATGTCCCCAAACTGGCCTTCTCCTATGCCTCTACTTGCCCGGGTTGAGATCAGCTGGCGCACTCTGGTGCTGTGGGTTGTAGGTGGTGGATCCATTACTCACAGTGTGGTTCTGACCTGGATGGAGCTAACTGCCTCTTCCAGGCCCACAGCTGCCAGCAAGCCCCACCCTTCTCATCTTTGCTCAAAGGGGAAAGGCTTTTTCGGTCATACTGATGAGCCCAAGACACCCTAGTCCTTTTCCTCCCCTCCTCATCCTGGCCAGCTTAAGGGTCCTGTTTTTCCGTTTCTGGAGGTCTGCACATAGCTGGCTCCAGCCCTGCAAAGCTGTGCTTTGATGGCTCTGACTAGCCTTACGTGCTTCCTCCCTCAGCTTGTCCCACCTTCCCTCCTTATTTATCCATCTAAACTTTTCTCCCCTAGTGCCAGGGATCAAACCCAATGACATGTTCCTGAGTTACAGCCTTAGACCTTTTTATTTTTTTGAGACAAATTCTCACTAAACTGCCCAGGCTTCCCCTAAATTCTCTATCCTCCTGCTTCAGCCTCCCAAGTAGCTGGAATTACAGGGCTGTGCAACCAGGCCTGGCTTCTCTAGCCTTTTGAGTAAATGTGGCTTTTTCTTTTTCTTTGTTTGGCTCATGTGCTATCTCTCTCAGTGCTTTGTGGCAACTCTTGGAACCTTATTCAATATTTGTGAATGACTCAAGAAAATGACTCAAAAGTTAACTGTCACTTTAGGAGCACATCTTCTGTTCCAAGCAACAAACACCTGTATATCCAATCTTTATTGCTGCCCCACAAGGCATGGGAGGGAGTGGGAGTCAGGCCTGCTCGGGCTGATTTTCCTGCATGCTTGCCTGAGCTGCTGAGGTTGTCATTCGGACTTAGGGGCAAAGCCCCTGCTAACTTCCACTAGGCCTCTGTTGGCTCTGTCTGACTTTCCCTACACAAATATCTTTCTGAAAGGCTGCTCAGAGGAGGAAGACTTGATACTTCCTGTCTGTAAATCCACTGACAGCATCTCAATCTCAGTACCCGTTCAAAGAACCAGTCAACGCCAGTGACAAAGGCCAGGCAGAGCCCAGGTTTCTGTAGCAGCAGTTGCAGTTTGTGTTTAAGAATCCTGCTCCAGGAGCTGGACGTATAGCTCAGTGCATCAGGCCCTGGATTTAATCTTCAGCACTGTAAAAATATAAATTAAGAAAATCCTGCTCTATTTTTCCTTTATTTATTTATTTATTTATTTATTTATGCAGAACCAGGGATTGAACTCAGGCCCTTGTGCTTGCCAGGGAAGCACTTATTCCACTGAGCCATCTCCCTGGTCCTGCTCTATTTTTTGAGCTTCCCTGATCTGCTTCTCTCAGTGTTAACTAACAGATTCCAGTATAAGGTCTTCAGAAACTGCAGGCCCTTTGAAAAATTGCTGGGGGGCCAGGGAGATAGCTCAGTAGAATAAGCTCCTGCCAAGTGTAGAGTTCCAATCCCCAGGACTGCAAAAAAACAAAAACAAAAACAAAAACTGCTGGTCAAAGAAAATCCCAATAGATCCGGAGTCCTATTCTGCCTCTTGCACCTCTGAGTGTGCAAGTAGACCATGTCTACTTCTTGAATTGTTTTTATGGATGCTTAGTAAGCAGTCCATGACCTGGGACTCTTGCACACCCACAGAACCAGAATTCTGCCAGCTCTTACCGCAAAATACGTTTTAGACAACAATATTCCACTTTACTGGCATTGGTTCTTGGCTAATCAAATTGGAGTCTGAGGCTGGGGTCAAGCCTGGTCAGGAAATGGACGTGAAACATGTTCCAAATGACACATGATTTTTAGCATATAAGCGCTCCAAATTTTCTATGAAGTTATGCTCGGCATGTTTGTTTGGTTTTGGTTTATTTGGCAGAACTGGGGATTGAACTCAGGCCCTTGTGCTTGCCAGGGAAACACTTATTCTACTGAGCCATCTTCCCAGCCCCTTGTTCAGCATAAAGTGACTGTACATATTTGCCACCTTACAAAGAGTCTGACAATGTCATCTTTCCTAAATGAAAACATTTAGACAAGCTTGACTTGGATTCAAGTCGATTATCATTTTTCAAGGCCATTACCTGGAGGTGACGTATGAGGAGACAGTTCTCAGTGGCAAATGGGAGATAGATCTAAAGGTGAGAAAAGACCACCTGGGCTGGGAGAGGCTGCAGGAATATGGCAGAATCTCTACTGAGGAGGACAGAGGTACCATGTCACCTAGGGCAAAGGCTCATACAGCCACTCTCCCCATCCTCTAGTATTGGGGACTGAACCCAGGGAATATGGAGTTTTAATTTTTTGAGTTATCCAGCCTGAACTTGTGATCGTCTTGCCTCAGCCTTCAAAATAGCTACGATTAGCGGCATGCACCACTGCACCTGGTCCCCAATCAACATGTTAGGATCTAGCTTTACAGAAAACAGGTAAAACCGAGAGCCACTACAAAAGGGAAATGTATGCTTAAGTCCCACCTGGTGGGCTGAGCTGTCCAAAGCAGGATGTGAAGTCACCCTGGCTCTACGCTGACTCCACTTGGAGGAAGCTACTTGGCCTGACAGCTGCTGGCTCTGTGGCCCCACAGCACTGCTTCCTCCACCTGGGCATCTGTCACTTCCCATGCGGCTGGTCCCACACTGGCTAGTTTCCTTTCAAGGTAAAGTTCTTGAGGGAAGAACCGTCCCTGCATCCCATGTTCCTGACCCTGCCACACGTGAAGCTCAGGAAACACTCTGAAACCGTCTTCTCTGCCCAACTCGAGCTGGCAGGCCCTAAGGCAAGGGCTGCACCCACTGAAAAATGAAATAATTGTTACACGTGGCGTACGTTATAACGACCGGGTTCTTGGCCTTATTACACAGGCCTCAAAGAATGCTAGTAACATGAGGCAGCTCAGTCCTCGAGGGCCTAACAGCCAGGAGACTCTGCCTTGCCGTGCAACTTGCAGGTGGTTCCTACGGCTCTCTCTGGATGAAACCTCTGGCTTGAGGTCCGGAGATGTTGGCATCATTCGGCCGGTCAGACCCCGTGGGAAGCTAGCTCCTTCCCCGCCCAGCCCCCGGAAACTGGACCCTGCAGGGGGAGTCCAGAGCCGCCACCGGCTCACGCCCAGGCCCGAGGCAGGCCTTCCCCCAGGTACAGTGGTCGTGGGGGGCAGCATGCAGGCCTCGCGAAGCTGGCGCCCACACGGTCGGGCCCCCGGGGCGCTTCCGCGAGCTCGGGACGCGGAGCTCTAACGAATGCAGGAGGTACCTGGTGGAGACCAGGAGTCGCGAGCACCTCCGCCCCGAGGGCAGACACCCGGCCGAACACCGCCGGGGGCGGGCCGGCCGCCGGAAAGCTGCACCCGCTCCGCCGCCACCCGCCGCTCCCGCCTCGCCGGCGGCAGGCGGTGCGCGCAGGAAGGCCCGCCCCTTCCGGCGCGGCTCCGGGAGCGGCGATTCGGCCTCCGGCGGCGCCGCGCCCGGCTCAGCCAGAGCTGGCCCCGCCCCAGCGCGGGCGGGCTCCTTCTGGCGCCACTCTGGGGGCCGCCGCCCACCTCTGGGTGGTGGCGCGCCTCCACAGCAGCGGGACCTAGCTAGGGACGGAGGGCCACCGCTCGGCCGGTCTGTCGATCGATCGGTGGGGCGGGCCGGCTGGCTACCCCTGGCTGCACCAGGCGGCTGCACCTCCGCAGGTCTCAGGCGGCTGCCCCGCCCCGCCCCGCCCCGCCCCGCCCCCTCCCAACGTGTAGCTGTCCAGGGGCTAAGTCCTCTACGGCGGCCAGATTTCTGTGCTTATCCTCTGCAGCCCCAGCAGTGCCCAGTAGTGCTGCTGCCCATAACATCTCCTTCCCTTGTCCGCGCTTCCTCTCTCACGGTCTTCTGGAGCCATCGCCGTCTCCGCAGCCTCGAAATCAAACCTAGCCCCGCTTTGGTGCCGCCTCCCTCACCTGTTCCCTCCCTTCCCCGTTCTATGCTGTGTGGCCTCCAGCACTGTGAACTGAATTTCTCCATAAAGTGCCAGCTTTAAGCATTTGCTTTATTATAGTAATGGCAACCGACTGATACAGAGTTGAACACTGAATTCCTTTTTGCCAGCCGACTCAACCTGCAGTCTGATTCTCCAAATTTTGCCATTCCTGGGTCACTATGGCCTAGATCCTGAGATACGAGGAAGGACCTCCCACTTCCAGGACACGGGAGGACCCCTGAGTTGGTGGGTAGAGGCCAGTGGGCCTTCTGCAGAGCCTCCCCCTAGTGGGCATCCGGTGCTCAGGGGAGCAGCCCTGGAAAAGCCTGTCTCACTTCTTGCAAGACCAGCTTTTCAGCACGCTGTGTCCAGGGACGTTCCCCCTCCTCCAGCTGACTGTCAGCTGGATTCTCAGATTGCTGCTCCTTTTTCTCCTCTGCTTCTCTCCTCTCCCCTCCCTTCTCCTCCTCTCGGCTTCCCATTGGGTGTTGAATCCTGGGCCTTCGCGCTGAGCTAAACCCCCAACCCCAACCCCCAACCTTGCCTGCCTGCCTGCCTGCTCTTTCTCTCCTCTCTCTTTTTTTCCTCTCTCCCCTCTCCCCTCGCCTCTCTCCTCTCTCCTCATTCCTCTCTCCCCTCTCCCTTCTCCCCTCTCCCACCCACTCTCCCTCTCCCCTCTTCCCTCTCCCTTCTCCCCTCTCCCTTCTCTCTCACAGGCAGATTGTCACTGAGTTGTCTAGGCTGGGTGTAAATTTGCTGTCTTCCTGCCTCAGCCTCTAAGAGTGCTGGGATTACAGGCATGTACCACCACATCTGCTTGCATATTTAGTTTTGTAAGAATTAGCCATTCTGTTTTCTAGAGCACTTGCGCCATTTTGGATCCCTACCAGCAGTGTACAAATGACCTGGTTTCTCTTCATCCTCACCAGCATTTGAGTGGCCACTGTTTTTTTTTTATTTTGGCCCTAACTGTTGAGTTCAGGGATGGGTGGCAGATGGGTTGTAAACACACTTCTTTCCCCCATGTGTTTGCATATGTCCCTCCATTTTGATTTGTCTTGTGTACCTCTCCCCCACCCGTGGGGTCTTTTGCAAAGAAATTTCTATTTTGGAGTATTTTCTGTTTCTCTGTGGACTTCTCTGAGGGATTTCCTAGTTGGAACCATGGCCAGGCTTTGTTCACCTGACTGGAGTTTTCTTGAGTAAGCACCTGAGAAGAACCCCAGGTGACTCTACCCAGGTGCCTCTGCCCCTGAGAAGCCCCTCATATTAGAAGCTTCCTTCCAATCAGCCAGACCCCCATGTCTTGAACTCTGTCACAGTCTAGTGGGTAGGAGTCCTCTGACGCACAGCCTGAGGTCAGCTTGAGGAGGTGCTGTTTTTCACAATTCTGAACTGGTGATATCTTAGTCTTGGGAAATTCCTGTAGTGGCCCTTGGTGTGAGGGAACTGGGTGCAGAGGTGACCCTGCTCTGCCTCCAGCAGCACCAGCCTGCTCCCATGTCTGCTGGCTTTTGTGAGCCCTGTGGTCTCAGGAGGGCACTGATGACGAGGCGCCTTCCTCAGGAATTTCCTGCTTTGGGGACAGTGCCTGCTCCTCAGCAAGTTCTCACAGTCAGAGCAAGGAGCAGGAGGTGGACTGTGGACGGCTGCTTCCTGTCCTGTGAAGCAGGAAATTCATAGAAAAAGCATCCAATAAATCAAGTCTCCAGGCCCTGTCACTTTTTAGCAGGGCCAGGGTTAGGCAAGAGAGGGAGAGGTGACCCTAGAATGATATGAACACACAGGACACAGTTGACCTGGAAGGGGCATCCTCAGGAACTTTGGGAGGCCTGCCTGCTGGACTGGGCCCTCTTCTGACTCTAGAGCCAGCCAGGGCATCCCTCCTCACTATGTCGGCTTGTCAGAGTGGCCCCAGTGAGGAAGGGAGAGCATCCCCTGGGTTTGCACTTGGGCAGCTAACTACCCAGAGACTGATCTGAAGTCTGGGACATTTCTGCTTCCATTTACCACTAGCTTCGGGCACACATGTGTCCCTCCTTGTCACTATATCTGAGCAAACTGGGTTCTGCCAGAAGAGGTACATCTCTCCAGCCCAGGTCCCTGTCCTGGGCCTGGTCCCAGGAAGGGGGTACATGTATTAGCTAGATGAGCGTGTGATTATGGAACTGGCCATGGTCAGCAGACAGAAGGATGGGCTGGGGATTCTTCAGTCAGAATGTGGGGCACACGTACTTTTTCTGTAAAGGGCCAGCTTTCAGTGCTCCTCCTCTGAGTCTCCTGTGGAACAGCCAGGCCAACTTATGGCAAGTCAGTTCAGAGGTCATCTCTGTTGACGTCAACCCTGCCTCTGAGTCCTGGTCAGCCCCATACAATTGTATATCCATTCCCAGCACCTCTGTCAGGGGTAGAAGTCCCAGCCTATAATGTGACTCCCAAACCTGGCACCAGCAGCACTGGGGTGAGAGGAGGAAGGGCCAGCATTTCACCAGGTCACCTTTGTATCTCACCATCACGGTGACCTGGAGCTTAAGTGCTCAGGGACAGTGATAATGCAGGTCAGGGAATCTCCACTGCCACTCAGCTCCCGTCACAAGAGTGTGGAAGTGCTGGAGCAAGGATTCAGTCACTAGCACAGGGAGAGTCCACCAGAGCCCCAAAGCTTCCCAGGAAAAGGAAAGAGTTGGAGAGCATAGGCTCTGGTCCTGCTTTAGGCTGGTTTGCCTGGTATTTCCATATCATCCAGGAACAACAGGGATCTTTTGTGCTGAGTCAAGGAAGCACACACAGCAAAGCTGAGGGTCACAGAGTTCCTCCTGCACTGGCCTAGAGAGAGCCCTGGAGTCAGCAGAGCAGCTGAAGTACAGGCAATGGCTGCTGGACACTAATGTGGGCCAAATGCTCAAGTGTACAGAGACCAGGATGGAAGCTGAGGAACAGAGGCTGTGGGAAAAGGGGCTGGCAGCACCTCTACTGCAAGCTGTGACTCCCGCCCAGCCTGTGATGCTCTACAGAGGGCGGACTCAATCTCAGGGGCTCTTGTACTTTTGGCCTTGTCCTCTAGCTAAAGTACCCTGTGATTGCATCCTAGGATCTGACCATGTCTCCCAGCTGAAGCTTGGCCATAGCCCACAGGAAAAGGCTGTGTTCCCAGATGGGTGTCTGTCACGCTGACCGACAGGTTCTGGCCACATCTCTGTATCCCTGTCCCACTCTGTGTTCTTGGGCTGGCCAAGTCTCCTCCAGAGAGGTCCAAGCCAACCTTAGATTTATAGAAGAGGAAAATGAGGCCCAGATGGAACAGATGAGGTGTTCTCCAGCCATGCTGGACCCTATCCTGAGGCCTTTGGGTCACTCAGGGTCCTTTCACACCCCCAGGTGGTACATATCCATTCCTAGGGGCACCGGGCTTCTGTGGCCTCAACCTGCAAAGCCTACCCTTTAGGCCTTAGGACTTCTGGTGTGCATGTCCGTCTGTAGCTCCTCCATGACCAGGTAGTGAGTGATCTGACTAGGGAGCCCTCTGAGCCTTAGCCAGGGCAGGTTCCATAGGACACAGGCAATTGCGGGGCCATTTTCTTGCATCCTACTTGCCCCATCTGGAGGCATGAGTAGGTTTCCCTCCCCAGCAGGTTAATTCCACTCAGAAGGAGGAAAGGGCTATTTTGGTCCATGGCTTGGTCCTGTGGCCTTTGGGCTGCGATAAAGTAGCCTTGTAGAGGCCGGGAAACAGGAGAGAAGTGGGGGACAGACACCAGGTTTTTCAAGGGCTTTTCTGCTAGGCCTTATTTCTTAAAGATTCCTCCATTTCCCAGTAATGCCACACACTGGGTTTAGGCTTTTGGGCAGATTTAAAACTCAAACTATGACAATGCTGACCTCTAGCACTGTGACATGAAGTTGTGTTGCTTGAAATTGTCCAGTAATTTGCTGTGGGGAGCTGAGGTAGACCACATGGATCCTGTAGCTGGTGTCCAGCCCCACTCAGTTCTTCGCTGCCCAGCTGGATGAGGAGCAGTGGGCTCTATACAACCTTGTTACTGTAGCTGGTGTCCTGTACTGGCTTTCATGCAGGGCCTAGGTTGTCTTGGCTGTCATCATCCCCTGATACTTCTGCCCCACCTGGCCTGAACGGTGGGAATTCAATGACCTTGGCCAGCATCCGGTCTCCCACCTCTGCAGCAGTAGCTCAGGCCTCCTGGCGCCTCCGTCTGGAGGCCTGAGGTGCCCTTGGTTGGCAGGAAGTGCTGGTGCTGGATCCTAGAGCTACAGTGTCGCAGCGTGTGACCCTGAGCAGCTATAATCTCTTTCTTTTGTCGGTGGGCCCAACTGTGCTCACGTTGGACAGCACAGCAAAACCCTCTGGGTGCCGGGACAGCCAGCTCTGTGGGGCAGCTTAGACCTGTGTTTGGGATGGTTCCTGGCAGTGACACTGGGGTGCTCAGAGCGTGGCTGCTTCCTCTCTGCCTTCAGGAGGGGAGGTCAGGTCAGAGCTCAGTGGGGAGTCAGCTGTGCATTTGGGTCCCTGAGAATGGGATGGGGACCCCGGGAGGAGACACTATCATAGAGGCAGGAGCCCAAGGTCAAGACGCTCTGGAGTCGGTGACTTCAGACTGAGCCCCAGGTCCCAGCTCATTCCTCATGAGGCTCAGAAGGATCCACAATTGAGGGTAATGGTAAGCTGGCCCCTCAGATCTGCATGCAGCTTTAAGACAGCCCTTCCGAGGAGCAATTCTGGGAACGCAGGTAATAGTGTCCAGTTTCCAGTTAGACATGGCTGGTGCAGTCTCTTGGGACCTAAGGAGCTTGGGCTAGCACAGGTAGGTGTTCCTGCAAACATGCACTCAGAATAGGGTCCTGACAAGTGTGATGGTGACACTCACAGGCAGTGAGAGCTCTCAGGGCTGAAAGCTCCTCTGCAATCAGCACCAGGCTGGTAAGAAGCTTGAGCTGGAGGAGAGGGGATTCCCAGAGGTCATGGAGCCACTTAGGGTGGGCCTAAGATTTCAGCCCCAGGAGTCTGAGTTGTACATCAGCATGGGCTGTGTGTGTGAGTGAGACAGAGTGTGCGCATGTGTGAAAAGTAACTGGCTTCAGCATAGAAGAAGTTTATTTCCCTCTGAGGTCAGCAGATCTGAGACAGACAGTGCAGAGCTGGTGTACGCCTTCTGGTCATCAGTGGTTAGAGCCTTCCCCCGTGTTGCCTTATCATGCTCAGCAGGCGGCTTCATGGTGTAAAGGGCTGCTTTGTACCTTCCAGTCCCCAGGGAGGAGACAAGGGTGCTCCCTTCACCCAGGGACTTAACTCCCTACCTCCAGCTGGCTCTGGGCTTTATTGATAAGGAAATGGGCAGAGTGGACAAGTGCAGGCCACCTACTGCACGATGGAATGGGCTCGGCAGGCAGGAAAGGACCCTCCAAAGCTGACCAAGTTGAGCTAGTGACCTAAGCCAAATAAGGACATATTCCTGTAGGATTTGCAAAATGTGACTTTGCAAAATGTGACCTTGTCTACAGTAACAAAGAGATAACCCTTGGTCATGACTAACTCTGTAAGCCCCCCTCCTCTTCCCCCTACTTTTGTGGTTTTCTGTTTTAAGAACTGTGCCTCACTTAGGCTCAGTGCACATTCTTGTCAGTTTCTGGGGAGAGCGTTGTCCCTGAGCTCAGCTAGTAAAGCGCTCGAAAATGTCCCTTTGGTTTCAGTGTCTATTGGTTTTGTGATGTGCCACCGGAATCTATGACGTTCTTTAAGCCTTTGTCCTTACTGCTCAAATAAGGACGGTGAGGCTGGGTTAGTGACTGAGGGTATCTTCCTCCCATCCCAGGGCTCTGTCCTCTCACCAGCTGCTGGTGAAGCAGAGCTTGGTACAGTCGAAGAGGTAGCAGCCAGTGGACCAGCCCAACAGAAGAGATGCCATCTGCCCAGGCAGGGTTCTCCTGCCCAGGCTCCCACCTCAAGGGCCACAGGCCCTTTCTGTCTCTTCCCAGTATAGATTTGATGGTCGCACTCCCAGCCTCCTCCCTATGCCCATCAGGCTGGGAGAAGGGTGGAGTTCAGAGGTGGGAATAGGGCTGAGCTCCAGTATTCCCTCCCCCCTTCCCATTCTCCCCTGTCCTTCATTACTTCCTGCTTTCCCCTGGCTCCACCTCCCCTGTAGGCTCCCAGAACCTCTTTCCACCCCAAAGCTCTTTCCCAGGCTGTGACCCCAGTCACTCAGGCTGAGCCAGAAGGATGGCAAGCTTGAGCCCCAGCCTGGGAAACTTAGAGAGACTATTTAAAACAAAAACAACAATACCCCCAAATCCTTGTTGCTCCAGACAGGTGGGGGAAGAACTTTATCCAACACTGGCTGCTCTTTGACCTAAATGACAACTGAGTTGGAGGAATTTTGTGCTGGGAAGTTAAGGGTGAAGATGGCATACTCCAGGCATGCAGTGTTACCTGTGCTTGGCGCTGAGCTAGTGGACACTGCTACAGACCATAGGACCTAGGGATGCAGGTGCTCGTGGCCCAGATCCAAGGAGGGCCGGAGGTTGATGGATTGTGAAAGGCACTCCAAATTTATTCTTGGAAGCTTGTGATGGGGAAAGGAAGCCCTGAACAGAGTGCTGGCCTGGCCCAGTGTGAGAATGGGCAGGGGATGGGTCTTTAGGTCCCCACTACCCAAAGGCTAGTGAGGAAGCTGAGTAAGAGGGCGATGCCTACATTTTTTGGACAGCTTGGAGGGGCCTGTGACCCACCGGTTTGGGGATGACCAGCTCTGTTGTCCCAGGGACTGCCTATTTTGCCATTCTGCGGGTCCTGGACTTGGGGCTGCTGCCAGGGTGGGACATTGCACATGGGAGACTGGCAGCAGGTTTCGGTCATCTGGGTCCCCTCCACGGTCTTGGTGATGGGTTGGCAGGAGTCTGTGCACCACATGGAGTAGGTGGTCAGGGAACCAGAATCTGCAGGGAGGAGGGGACGGGTGCTGAGATGAGGTGGGGCACAGAGGGCAGCCTGTGGGTGGGCGCAGGTATGCCAGGCTGCATTCACTCACCTGTGTTGCTGTGGCTAACGAGCATGACGCAGGAGTCCCGACTACTTGAGCAGCTCTGTATCTGGTTACAGCTGTCCCCATGGTGTAGCAAAGGGCAGACGTAGCATGGCAGTGCTGCCGGCAAGGCCAGGCTCAGGCAGGTCAGGGCCAGGCTGCGGGCACCCTCAGCGCCTGCCTTCCCAGAGCCCTGTTTGCCTGCCTTGTTAGATGTCCCCAAACCCTGCCCTGCAGGAGCCTATGCTGGGGGCTTTTGGAGGAAGTAGTCAGGACAAGGCTACAGGGGAAACTTTCCGCTTATTTCTTGTCACTTACTCAGTGACCCTGCTTAAGGTGGGCAGTGAAGACCCAGAAGGCAGTCTGACTAAGCCTCGCAGAGGAGGACCTAAGGCAATATTGTGCAGGTGGGGAGCAGGCTGGAGCCAAGGGCAGCTAAGGGAGAGCCAGCAGGGTGAGGGCATGGGGGGGGCAGGCCACGTGGTCTAGGTGCCAGCGGATCTCCTTCATCCTTGCCCGAGCAGGCTGGGGATGGGGGACGGGCAAATGGGTACCTCTGTCTCTGCTGCCAGGGATCATGTTGGTCTCCTCTTCTTCCTCCTCCTCCTCATCATAGCCATAGCTGTCTGGACCCCTGTCATCCTCCTCTTCCTCTTCCTCCTGTGCCTGCCTGCTGCCTGGCCAAACAGGGACACACAAATTTCAGCTACCCAGGTGCAGGACACATCCTCCATGCCGAGTGCCAAGTCCCCAACTCCTATGTCTATCTTTGTCACTAAGGCCTGCTCACTTCACAGAAGGAGGAGCTGAAGCCAGGAGAGGGCAGCGACCCCCCAAAACCTGTGGTATTGGAAAGGCCAAGCATGAGGTGAGAGCCATCTCCCTGGGTCTGGGGACTCCAGCCTCATCCTCTCCTTCCCAAGCCCATCTCTTGTCCCAGGCTGGGGGGGTGGGTCTCTGGAGGTCCCCATAGGCCAGGGCTCTGCCGCCTCCCCCCAAAGGGTTAGCATGCACCCTTGCACCTGGCTGCCCACACAATAGCAGGGTCAGGACCACGGCTTCAAGTGCCTTCATCCTGCAGGACACTGCTGTCCCTGTGCGTAGTCGTTCCTCACTCTGTCCTGGATCTGCGTCAGTGGGACGAAAGGCATCACATGGGGCTTCCCGTGGCCCCCACCAGCTCCAGTCTTAAACAATGGACCTCAGTTGGTCCCCTCTGCAGGCACCAGGCCAGGGACACTGCTTCCCTCCAGGGGGTAGAGGGGAAGGCGAAGGCATTGTGTCCAGCTCGGAGCGTCCTGTCCACCTGTGCTGTTCCTGAGTCTGCGGAAGGTGAGCATCAGCCTCAGGAGCCACCTGGCCCTGTCCTGGCTTCCTGGCTCCTGAGCCTCCCTGCCTCAGCCCCGCAGTGTGGGTCAGAAGCCTGGCCTGGGCTGTGTTAGTGCCCAATGGCCCTGACTGTCCACTTCCCTGGGGACCCCATCTGTGTAGCCATAGGGGCTCAGATCCACACCCCATTTGCCCACCAGGGACTAGGCATCCTTCCCTTTAGAGGATTTCACTCTTGTTTCATCCCCAGCCAGGTTTGCTGGGACAGTGGGAGAAGGCTGTTGAGAGGGAATCGGCTTGGGAATGATGGGGCTTAGCAGGTGCTGACAGGCAGGATGGGTTAATGGGTACTTACTATTTGGGCAGGGTCCACAGGAGCATGGACAGAAGCACAGGAGCGAGTAGAGATCCAACAGCAGTATTCAGAAGGTACACAAGTGTGCATGCTCCATAATAGCACTGCTCGGAGAACTCCTGAGGGGCATATCCTCGACAGCAGTGCTTCGGGGAGGTCCCAGGTGACAGCCAGGCAAGTGCTCAGGAGCAAATTCTGAGGGCCACCGCCTGATGACAGCACCTCTCAGTTCTCTGTTTTGCTCCCTGTTAGCATGCGGGGAGGGGCTTGTAGACTAAACTCCAAGGCAGAGACCTCCTTGGCTGGCTCTGTTCTATTGTGCAACCAGCATTTTAGGAAACTGGCTGACTTAGCATGTGGCAGGAAGGCAGTTAGGACAGATAACATTGACTTATGCAGTTCCCAGGATCCCTCAGATAATACTTATCAGGACAGCCCGATATCTGTACATTTACAGTGTTCCCTTGACAAGAATTTGGGGAAAGCAAAAGGGGTGTTTCAGGAATGTGCTGCTAAATGCACTCAATGTGCCTTCTGCAGACGCCAGAAGGACATTCACCATTGACATAGTCAGCGCTCCCCCATCATACCTACTCACCCCTCTGTTGCCCTCCTCTCAGCAGGCTTGCTGGGCCCGGGCTCTGCTGCCCCTGGCTCCCTGCTGTTCCTTCTGCCCTGGGTGCTGTTCCTGAGGAGCTCACATAGCCGCCCCCAGCGCCATTCCGCCTCTGCTCCCGTTACCGCCCCAGAAGGGTCTTCCCCGGTCACCCACTCACACCTTGTCCTCCCTGGGCGTTGCTCCTGGTGCTGTCATCTCAGCCCTGCAGTGGTCCCAGGGAGCTCCTCTAGGCCAGCCTGTGTTCTGGGTAGGAGTTGATTGAGAAGAAGAACAAGAAGAAGGTCACTCTTTTGTGAACAGCAGCAGCCTGCCTGCCTCAGCCTTCTGCTTCATCACTGTCCCCCAGTGTAAATAGGGTGAGCAGAGAGCTACTTGGGGATCAGGGCAGGGGTAGATTAGAGGTTGGGTTGATGTCAGCCCACCGCGGTTCCCAGGCTTCATGGTTTGGGTCAGCCCCTTAACTTGCCTTAGCCTCTGTTTCCCTCACTGTCAAGGGCTGGGCTGGACATTCTCTGGGGCCACCCAAAGCAGTGCTTTGAGCCCCAGATCCTCCTTCCCTGGCTCTGGAAGCAACCCCTTGTCTGGTCTTATAGCTTGTCTAATACTAGGACTCATAGAGGACAGTGCCTAGCTGGGATGACACTGTTCTGATACCTCAGCCATTGTCCACTGTCCCTTTTTTTTTT